CAACACCTTCCTTCGCTTCCTAGCAGAGTGGACTGCCAAGTGGGCGAACCAGCTCCGCAACTTCCAGCTTACCTTCGATCAGGATCGGAAGGTGGATCCGCCAAGCATTTTCATTCCGGTCCTAGAGGAGATGATTCGCATGGCAGCCGGGGTTTGCCTTCGATCTGCCGCTGCAGAGGCACAGGAAGAGCAGACCCGCGACAAGCTCACCCTGAGCCAAGGTGTGAAGGAAAACAGTCAGGCCACGGCATTGCAAGAGGCAATGGCTGGACGAGTTGTGGATGTTCGTTGCGTTGCGACCGCGGCTTGGGCCTTCAACTCAGGAGATTCTTTGCGCTTGATTGGCAGCGCGTGTGATGTGCCCAAAGCTCTTCAGAACCTGTGGCATGCCTACAACCAGGGGGTGCTCCGGATGCTTGGGGAGAGAGGCAAGAGCCACACCCATCAGCCACCGCCTGTGAACTTGGCCAGTTCAAGCCAGGCTGAGATGAAGAAACTGCTGCTTCAAGTGATGTCTGACCACGGCATGTCCGATGCTCAGCTTTCCGATGCTTTTAATGGATTCGTGCTAACCCCCGACAACATGATCAAGCTCGTGGACGTTGCGGAGCGCCTCCGCGCTGGCCTTCCGTGCATCCTAATGGGCGAGGCTGGCTGCGGGAAGACGGTGCCCTGGTTTGCAGTTGGGATGAGCCGAAGTATAGCAATGAACATCTCCACAAGTTCACAACCTTCGAAAGCTTGTTTTCCCAAGGTGCTCCTGCGACTGACGGCGCAACTGCTTGGGGCTGGCAAGCTGAACGAGCATTCAGTGCATGCAGGCACTTCAGTTGAAGAGATCTTTGCAGTTTTGAATGAAGCGGAGGCAATGGCCCAGACCATGGCCCAGACAGGCAAGCATCAGATGGTGATTCAGTTCTGGGATGAATTGAACACGTGTCCACATCAGCCACTCTTCAAGCAAATCATCGTCGACCGAGTAAATCCCAGCACTGGCCGGTCCATACACAAGTCAGTCACATTTGTTGCAGCTTGCAACCCGTGGCGCTATGCACAGAGCCAGGCCATGTCTGCTGGCTTTGAAAGTCCACCTGTGGCCGAAGATCGTCTTGCCGGGTTGGCCTACCGTGTGCACCCGCTGCCAGAGAGCCTGTTCGGGCATTTGTCTTCTTTCGGCCAGCTTGATTCCGCGACCGAGGCTGAGTATGTTGAGAAGATGGCAGAACGAAGCCCAAGTGTGCTGGATGCGGATGACAAGCCGCTCAAGCCTCCAGCGACGAGTGGGAGAATCTGTAACATCGTGGCTTGCTGCGTGAAGGTGGTGCATGCTTTCTTCCGAGAGCGGCTCACGTTGACTGCCTCCTTGCGAGACCCCAACCGTTTGCTGAGACTTTGGTTCTTCATCCGTTGGGAGTGGCAGATGCGAGGGCTGAATTTCACAGGTGCGGATCTGGAAAAGCGGGATCTTCAGTCCTTGATGCTTGCCATCCACCTCTGCTACGAGCTGAGACTTCCAAGCATGGAACTTCGTCAGCAACTCGTGGCCGTTCTCCTTGCCGACTCGCAGCTAGGCGACTGCTTGCTGCAGCATTTCCATGACCAGCTTGAGGACGAGCAAAGCCGCCTGGATTTATGGCAAAATGTCGTGCGGGAGGAGGAAGATTACTGGCTTAATGCTATCAATGTGCCGGACAACATCGCCAAGATCCGTGCATTGAGGGAGAACGTTCATGCCGCCCTCATGTGCTCGATGACGAGGACGCCCATTTTCATCCTTGGCAAGCCTGGATGCTCAAAGTCGCTGACAGTATCCCTGCTTGTAAGTGCGCTCACAGACCCCTATTCCGATGAGTTGAAGCACTTGGCAAGCTTCAGTGTTCAGCCGTACCAGGGGAGCCGTCAGTCGACATCCAACTCCTTGCTGCAAGTTTTCGACCGCGCTCTGAAGCAGCAGGAGAAGCTCCGGAAGTTGAAGCGGCGAACGCGACCTTTGGCATTGGTCTTGCTAGATGAGGTGGGGCTTGCGGAGCAGAGCCCTCACAAGACACTCAAGGTGCTTCACTCTCGGCTGGAGCCCCGGAAGCCGGAGCAAGCCGTGTCCGTCATCGCGATCAGCAACTGGGAGCTGGACAGATCCAAAATGTCAAGGGCCCTCACCTTGGCATGCCCCCCAGCCTCGGAATCGGATCTGCAAGAGATCGCACTGGCCATCATCCGAGCATACCTGGCCCACGACACCCAGATCCGACGCCAGCTAGAGGCCAACTTGGAGCACATCTCCCGGGCCTTCATGGGGATTTTGCAGAGCCAGCAGCCCAGTGATTTCCATGGTCTCCGAGACTGGTATGGCATGTGCTCCTACGCTGCACGCCTGTTGCTGGCAGCGGATGACGCCATGGAGCTGGTCTCCAAGGAGGCATCACAAGGTGCACTCATGAAGGCTGTGTCTGATGCGTTGACCATTGAAGCCAGACAGCTTGTGGAACTGTGTCCAGACAGGGAGCTCAAGTTCGTTCCAGCTGATTGGGCCTTGCAAATGGCGGTCTACAACAACTTCAGTGGAAACAGCAGGCACTCGGACAATGGCCAGATTGTGGACACGCTCAGCACCATGCAACAAAGCGTGCACGCAGATGAGGCTCAGGCTCAGTTCGTTCCGTCACTCGCACAAGTGTTGCCTCACTCCGCCACGACTGTTAATCGGCTGGATTCACTGTTGGGCGATGTGGACGGCCGCCACATCATGGTAATCACAGACTCACCAGTCCCGGTGATTGCTTGGATTGAACACCGTGCACGCACTGTTACCAATTGGAATCCAGAAAGTCTTGTAGGCAGTCCTCTGGAGCAGGATCGAACAAGCACGGACATGTACGCACAGAGCATGATTCAAGCCGCGATTGTTAGCATTGCGCAAGAACGGCGACTTCTCATTTTACAGAACCTGAGCATAATCTACGCGGCTTTGTACGATGTGTTCAATTCGAACTATTGCCGGGCTGGTGGTGACGGCCAGAGGTACTGTCGAATTGCACGAGAGGGGTTCTGCAACCCTCGGTGCGCTGTCGCTGAGCAATTCAAAGCGGTTCTTGTGGTCACTCGGGAGCGAGCTGCCGAGTACGAACCTGCATTGCTCAATCGCTTTGCAAAGCTAGAGGCCGATGCCCCAGAAATTTCGCATGGCTTGCAAGGACCTCACAGTGTGTGTATGCATGTGTATCTCATTTAAGTAGTTGTTTCGAGTGTGCAGCAGGGCTGGGCGGCCGGACATGCAGTAAACATAAAGTTGAAGGGCCGCTGCAAAGCCTAGGTGGACCTGTCAGATCTTCTGCCCTCGAAAAATGTTTCTGTGGAGTGGGAGGAGCATGTCTTTGACCTCTTCCCACGCTTGGGCGGTGCTGAGGGCATGCCACAGCACTTGCTGCCCACAGATGTCATGGCTGCTTGCCCCATGGATCCTACACAGCCGGACTTGACGAGCCTTTTTGACATGGTTGCGCTGTCCGCAAACATGCGTCGTGCTGACACGGCTGATTCCGTTGATCCACAAGGCCGAAGCAGCGTCGAGGAGAAGGACGCGGTACTGTTTAGACTGCTCTCCTTGGAGTACTCGATGGGTCATGGTGTTCGAGGCAAGCCAGTGAGCAGCCCGAGCACGCATTTTGGGGAGCTGCTGAGCCAGACATGCACCGAGCTCGGCATGGACCGTGAGAATTCAGCCATCATCCCCATGTTGGTCCCGACGTTCAGCGCCATCAGCCAAAGGCTTGAATGTGAAGCAGTGCCACTGATCGAGGACGGATTGAAAATTTTCACCGAAATTCAGATTCACAAGACAGTGTCTGAAGGCATGTTTCAGGAGAGTGCAAAGGAGCATGTGGACAAGGTGGCGCATGCCTCTGGACAAGGAAGAGTGCTATCAGCCCTGCACGTACATCTCAGCATGAAGCAAGATGATGCTGCAGACATTCTGGATTATCTCCGTTTCCA